AGGAAGGAAGGAAGGAAGGAAGGAAGGAAGGAAGGAAGGAAGGAAGGGAGGGCTGTGTGATATTCCTCAGGTATGCATGAGCCCTGTGTCCAGCTGTAGCCTCTGTGCCTCCAGCAGAGTATCACCTATAGAGGAAAAGGTAAAAAGAGAGAGAGAAAAAAACTTTACAGAAAGACTCTTTGCAACAAAACTGGAAATTTACTGAAGAGGAAAAGGGGAGCGGGGGGAGACATTTACAGGATGCCACATTCCAAACCAACCCAAGCTTCTAGTCAGACTCTTGCCTGTGCCTGTGGATGGGGTGACTAGAAGATAGGAGCAAAGGCACCCTCGGTCTGTTACCTGCATAGAATCTCTCTTCCCCCATTGGCAGAATACCAAACAGGGAGAGAGAGAGGGAGGATGGATGGATGGATGGACAGACAGAAACTCCTACTTCCACAACAAAGAGGGATTGGGAGGAAACTCTTCTGCCTTGAGCCCACCCTCTCTACTGACCCAGAGGATGCCCTCCCAGCAGTCACCCATATGCATATATTTAAAATAACCAAGCGATGCCTATGGGGCTGAGTTAAACCCCTTCCTCAAAGAGGAACCCATTGATAAGATTGCATCTCGTGTTCCTTTCCCCCAGTAGATCAGAGGGTTGCCCTGAGTTTCAGTGGTGTCTGCCAGCAAGCAATAGAGCCAGCTTTATGGCGGTTCCCAAGGATTCTGTGAGAGCTATATGTGGCTAGGGATTAGGTTGGGACCCTTGGATGTAAGGGTCCCATGAAGGCCCAGGCCTCCTGTCAAGCCTGCGTCTCTGAGGCCTAAACCCTACCTGTGTTTGAGAAATAAGCAGCAAGTTTCCATTTGGATTAGGCTCGGTTCTGGGTGTAGCAACAGAAATTTCTGTCACAGGTCTGATTGCAAATGAACTAATCCAAGCTGAAAGAAGAATTGACTGCCACAATCATGGGTGTTCCCCAAAGGAAAGCAATGCACTTTTTGCTGGCTGACCCATAGGACACAGAGAAGTGCGGGATTTTATTATTTCCGGACTTGCAGATGTCGATTGCCTGCACTGCATCTAAGAGCTGCAGAAATCCTGGTCTCTGTAGGACCAGTTTAGAAGTAGCAAGCAGGAGATAATGATTATTATCAAGTGCCAAGACTGTTTTAATTCAAATCACCGCTCACGCTTTTGGAATTATTAGTCGCTGGGATAATTTCTGCAGCTCAACTTCCAAAAACCTATCAAGGACCTATCATGGTGGGGTTTTGCCCTGTGATCTGCTGCCTTTGTGCATGACTGAACACAGTCTTGTGGCATGGTTTGTTGCCCAGCTTTTGAAAACAAAAACTGAAGCATTATGGAGCCAGCAGAAACTTGCTGAAGCTTTTTGGGTGTCAGTTATCAAAATCCTTCCATAGAAAGAAAGAGCATGAGACTTGGGGGGTTGCTAGGTTAACCATTTACAAAGAAAAGTGACTGGTTGCGGGGAAGGAAATATTTTCCCTTTCTTTACGTTCTGCTATATTAATTCATTCCTATAAGATGTAGTCAATCATTGTAAGATAGGAGAGTGGCTACACAATACAACTGTTCTACCCGTATCCTAATACGAGTGCAATGTAATTACCACTCTCCATGAGCCATCATACAAATACTTTCACAGCCATGCGTGCCGTAGGAGTCTGCCAAAACTTTTGCTCCTTTTTCCCCTCGGATAGGAAGATCCTGAGTGCTCATGAGCATGCCACACTTAAAAGATAGCGTGAATCCCTAGATTTCTAAGAGAATGGATTCTACTACTACTACTAAGTGAATGGGTGCTGCTACTGTTACAGCCTGTACTATCTGGGGCAGGGGGAGGATTGACAAACTAAGCCAAAGAGAAATTGCTTTGTGCAAAGAATCTGTTCAGCAGTGAAAAGTCCACCCCATCATTTTAAGATGACTTTCCAAAAAATGATGAAGACCAATTTGAGTAGCTAAACATGGTGGTATGATGTCACTGGCTGGAATCACAGAAAGAAGTGAGAGGGGTGTTTAGCCCAAGAAAAGCCAGCAGAAGCCACCAAATATCTGAGAAAAAATAGTCATGAGTGGGTACAAAAGAGGTGAATTTTCTCAAAGTGGGATTTTTTGTCTCTGTATTTCTGTGGAATATCATGCTGGGCCTATTTTCATCCCCAAAGAGGTGAGCCCTCAGGATAGCCCACATTGCAAGACATTTCTTACAATGCTATTTTCAACGTTTCAAAAACCATGTTGGAAAAATAGATACAATAATTTTAGAAATGACATTATACGCTCTTTTCAGCCCATTCCATTCAGAACTAAGGCTGTGTGTCTGAGTTCACACCTTTGGTTAAGCCATTATGTGTTTTGTTTTTAGTTTAGTGTGCTGGGTGAATCAGGGAGGATGGTCAATGACTAAACCATGGTTTGCTTTAAGACAGTAAATCAGAGTTCCAGATTGTGGACTCTTGTTGGCTTACTGCGTGGTACTTGGGCTTTATGGGATGTGCAGATGAGAATGTCTTGTTTGTCATTTCCTGGCTTGTTCCTGCTTGCTTTTGTGTCCTGCTCAAGCCTCTAACCAGGGATACAAATCAAGATTGATTGACTGATTATGGGCCATCAAGTCGTTTTTGACTCCTAGTGATTGCATGGATTTTCTCCATGAACAAGTCAAGAGCATCTAAAAAAAAAAAAGAAGCCTTGTCCCCCAAAATTTGGCCAACCAACCTCCAGTTATTTTGCTCATATAGAAGAATAACTTGGCCTGTTCAACAAAACCAAGCATAGCTTGGTGAAATGTCTGAATGCAACCACCCTCACCCACCTCCAACCTGATACGTAGTTATACCTACTCCTTGGGCAGCCTGTCCTTCTCCACGGAGTTCTCCGGTGATATATGAATCCCCTGCTTTTCTGAGCACAAGTATGACCTCGTTTTGCCAGAGCACTCTGCACCGCAAGCTTCTGTGACTCTTTCCTCTGTTCAAAACAAAAATTGCTCCAACAATTCATGAGGAGGTTGGCAGGGAAGGGTGGGGGATTTTTCTTCACAGGGGATGAGGAGGAGGGGAGAAACGGGGAAATGGTAACGCCGGTAAATAACACCAAAGGATACAGAATTCGAAGAAAAGAAAAAAATAAGATAAGAAGGCTGTCAAAACAGAGTTCCTGAGAAATCTCTCCAAAACTGGGTCACTGAGAAAAGATATGCCAAATGAGATGCACTGTTAACAAGGAGGCACAGTTATGCATAACATCCTGCATAGGTATGTGTAGTTGGATTCCAGATGGCTTGTAACTGCTGAAAGGGGATTGGGTGGACAGCAATTAAAACCTGTCACTAGCAGGCCGTGACCATCACATCCCAATCTTAAATTGATTGAGGAGGCAGCATACAAGTAACTGTAAATAAACGTCCCAAAAATCAGTCCATACCAGCACATGGCGCTCAGACTTTTAGCAGGATGCACCCCCTTCATTTATGTCAAGGGGTAAGGCAATTTGAGGTGTGTGCCCCTTTGTGATGCTGCTCCCCCCACCCTTAAAGCAAGGAGAGGAATCTGGGGGAGCTCCGAGAGTGTAAATGTCAGTGAAATAAATCCGAAAAGCATCATTGTGCTGCTAATTAAATCTGTGTAACATTATTTATTTAAAGTATCTAGGTGCTGCCTTTCAGAAGGAAGGTGGCTTACAAGAGATAATGAGGTCTACATACATTAGCAGAATAATTGAGCTTCCCATGCCCAGTAGGGAGGTCACGGCTCCAAATCATTCAGCGTTACGCTTCTTGAGGGAGAAATGCTTCAGTGGCTAGAGCCATGTTTCTCAACCTTGGCACCTTTAAGATGTGTGGACTCCAACTCTTTCACGTTAACTATACCTGCCTTTGGGACTGACTTTACAATATGGCTGGCTGCAAATGTCAGCGATGGGGTTTTATGCTTTTATCAGGACCGCCGTGCCAAAATAGGTAAGATGCCAATCAGCTGGGGGGAAAAAAAGAAGTAACAAAGATGTTTCTGTCAGCAAGAAGATAAATGGCTGCAGCTTGCATTTTCATGCCATTAAGAGTGTTCAAGAAACAGGCAGCTTTCCTGTTTTCTGTCTCTCTTGCTACTGTGCCTGATGCAAAAGGACATCTTGCTAGGAGCACGTCAGCTATGAAACTGCTTGCTCTCTTTCTGTCTAGGCTCCTTGTACTGACACCTGTGGCTTAATAAGCCGTTTTCTTACAAGTAGCTCTCCTGGAGTGCTGGTGTAGATGCCTCTTGTCCCTGCCAGTTCCTGGCATCAGCAGTGGGACCCAAAGAACAGGTGAGCTCTCCAGGGCCTCTCATCAGCCACGCCCATCAGCTGACTCCCTCCCTCCCAACCCGGTTTGCACCTACACATTGAGCAAATTGTTGTTGGAAGGGGGAAGCACACCTGCCAGCTACGTGCGTGGAGGTAGTTTATAGCCCTGCAGGTGAATCCTCACCAACATCCTAGTATCCAGAGGGGGAAGATCCAGCTACAGAGGCCCCAATATTAGTGGAACTAGTTTGAAGGGGAATCGTCGGTCTGTTTTGGGGAAAGGCACACAGCTTGCTTACTGTTTGTGAAAATTTGGGATAGGAGCTGTAGATGGAGGGGTGATGCTTTAGGTTTGGAGTCTCTGAATAAAGAAGAGTGCACCAATCTGGAAAGGTGGAAGAAATAATGGACAATAGACTCAAAAGCTATGGAAGAGATGAACTAGGAGTCTTTTTTTTTTTTTTGAACCTCCCTAAGAGAGAGAGGAAAAATGAGAGAGGGGGTGGTGGAAGAGGTGCAAGCATGGAGGTATCTGCCATAAACCTCTGTACTTATTTCCTTGTGTTGCTTTGCAAGCAACACCATAGGAACGAATGCCAGTCTTTTATTTCTAACTGCATGGTAACATCTCTGAACCTCTTTCATCCAAATGAAACTGGTTTATCACAGGATAGCAATGTGCTAATCTTTGTAGCAGACTTTATTTTTTGTGTTTTCTTTTATGTAGCTAATAGCTTCTGCCCCAGATTGTATTCTGCCGAGCCAGCCCAATTTTTTTTCCTGCCTCGAGCAAATCAACATTTTACACTTTCTACCCTATGTCTCACAGCAGAATGCTGTCACATTAAATTATAAGAGTCAACATGATCTTGTTTCTTATTTGCATTTCTGACTTTGTAATTGAACTTGTACATTCTCGTGCTGCAGGCTTTTTAATCTAGATTAAATCTTTGTGCCGCATTTCTGGGAACCATCAATTAGATTCACTATGCTGCCCATTCATTCACATGGCAGGGTGGAAAAAAGATCCATCTTTCCTACCATTCCTTAACCACCCTTGATTACATCTGCAATTCAGCCATCCAGAATCTGTTGTGTCCTAAATGAAAATGGTCTGCCTAAGCCTTTGACGAGAGCCAGTTTGGTGTAGGGGTTAAGGCACCAGGCTAAAACTGGGAGACCCTGAGTTCTAGTCCCGCCTTAGGCACAAAGCCAGCTGGGTGACCTTGGGCCAGTCACTCTCTCTCAGCCCTGGGAAGCAGGCAAGGGCAAACCACTTTCAAAATCTTGCCAAGAAAACTGCAGAGGATTGTCCAGGCACTCACCAAGCCATCCAGAATCTGTTGTGTCCTAAATGAAAATGGCCTGCCTAAGCCTTTGACGAGAGCCAGTTTGGTGTAGGGGTTAAGGCACCAGGCTAAAACTGGGAGACCCTGAGTTCTAGTCCCGCCTTAGGCACAAAGCCAGCTGGGTGACCTTGGGCCAGTCACTCTCTCTCAGCCCTGGGAAGCAGGCAAGGGCAAACCACTTTCAAAATCTTGCCAAGAAAACTGCAGAGGATTGTCCAGGCACTCACCAGGAATCAAGACTAACTCAAAGGGCGCCAAAATATATTTAAAAAAACGTTTAATTTGCCTGGAGGTGCAGAGGCAAGATGCACAGACTAGAGGAAAGGTGCATCTGCCTCGGTATGCACAGCACCTGAGCACGAACACACACATCCTCTGCAATGAAAAGACATGACAGCGACCTGGGGTGGTGATTAAAATTGCTCGATCCAGGTTCAAATCCCATTCAGTGTCTTGGGAACAGTCACTCAATCCCCCTCAGCCAACCTACCTCACAGGGCCATTTTTGATGATAAAACTGTATGGGTAGGAAGCGCAACATATGCTTCCTGGAGAAAAAGGAGGACAACCCAAATACACAAACAAATAAATAGGAACTTTGCTTGCCCACGCTTCTCTTAGAGACCCCAGTCTCCAGCACTGAAAGTCAGGTTAATCGTTTCAAAAAGTCAAATGATCACACACTAGCCGCTTCTTTACTTTTGCTCATGTAGGTATTTCTAGACCTGAATTGTGGGTGGCTGATAGAAATACAAGGGTGCCTGGTTACATCCTGTGAGACGCGGGGGGTATCAAGAGTGCCAAGAAGCTGCTGACTTTCCACCAATGGTGTGCCTCCTTCAAAGCTGCAGGTAAGGGGTCTCCCACCAGATGTGTGCATAACCACAGACGCCCCTAGGATACTGATGCCCCAGGAAGTCACTTAGCCTGCCTCTATGACTGGATGACCCAGATTGCACTCTTCCAAGGGCTACTGCTTCTCCTTGAACTGCCACTTCTTTCCCCTTTGAGATGCCAAAGAACAGGCTGCTGCTGCTGCTGTGGTTGTTTGATGCCCATCATCCAGGGACGCCACATTGTAGGACACGCTCATGCTGTGAGAATTTGGTGAGGGACTCAGCTGGTTAAAAAAGAGCATTCTTGATGCATTATTTATTAGGATAGGAAGAGATCATCATGCTCCCCTCTTGGGGGCAAACACGCAAGACACCTGGAGCAATGGATGGGCTTAGAATGGCTTGATTTCACCCTCAAATAGTTGAAGATGGCCAAAAACAACTTGGCTGTCACATTGGCCTTTGGCCACTAGAGGGTTCTGTTTCCCAGGCTTATCAGCAAATGCAGGCTGTGTCAGGCATAACATTGAATCCAGGGCTCCTTTGGTACAGAGAGAAGGCTGTATGCTCCGCCACCTGCACAGCTGATCAAAGGGATCTGCAGCAACACGCATCTTGATGAAACGCTGGCTTATGTTGGTGGTGGAGAACTTGCAGCTCTCCCAGGCTGCTGAGCTATAATGCCCAGCAACGGCAGCCTGCCCGGCCAACAGATGCTGGGAGTTCAAGTTTGGAAGGCCATGGTGCTGTGCCCATCTTATTTTAGCACTGTGTCAATATCCAAAAGCCAAGGTCACATTCTTTGAATGACTGAGTTGGATGCTACAGGCAGGAAAGGCCCACTCAGTTACTCCTGTTTAGTTCTTAGGGATAAGGTAAATATAACAACTTAGATCACCACTGGAAACAGAAAAAATCTGAATATGGTGACCTCCTAGAATGAGTTTGGGACAGATCAATTTATTCTGGGCCTGTGCTAACTTTCCATGTATATATTCATGGATCTATTGTGTCCTGCCTTGGATTTGGCAATTTTAAAAAATGTGCATAAAATTATTTAGACACACAGACACACACCACATACAGACACATACATATGCATTTCAAGCCTTTCTAGCAAAGCATACAATTACTCTGAAATAGGTGCAGATTGAAGGGCATTTTCTCTTTTGAGCCAAAATGTGCAGGGCAATATTCAGAGAAGTGCAAAGTCTGAAGAATGTGTTTGCTCTAATGTGCGTGCCAGCCTGGGTGTCATGGATCAGAACAGTTCGTAGTGAAATTAGCCCAGATCAAATCTACATTCTTATTGTCCCACTGGTGTTGCTGAGTCCATTTTTTTTACTTCCCCCAATGGTGGCCCTTCATTTCCGAGGAAAAATCAAAGCCTGAACTTGGGACAGCAGTGTGAATGAGCCCTGATCCTTCCTCACCACAGCTAGTGGCTTGGGAGGGCCTTTGTTAGGAATGCCAGGGCACTAGTGAAAAGAGAATTTGCTGGCTAAGGAAAAAACCCAACATATTTCCAAAAGCAGCATGCTTGGGGGGCTGTTTTGTCAAGTAATCTCCTGTCCCATGGAAAATGAACTTCCTTCATGACATTTTTAATGGTGTATTTTTCTACATTTTGGCAGAGGTAGAGAATCTGTGGCCCCCAGATGTTGCCATACTGGCTAGAGCTGTTGGGAACTGTGATTCAGTAACATCTGGAGAGCTTCAGGTTCTTTCTTATGCTTGGACTATGATTTTCTTTTGAAGAAAGCACACATCTGGTCAAGTTGGGGTCAAGACTTGAAGCAATCCAGATAGGCTTCCTTCTTTATTGGAAGTGGGTACAAGTGGGATGCACCAAGGAAGCCTGGCTTGTCCTATGTTCTTGGATCATACTCACGTTCTTCAAGGCCAGAGTGTGATTCTTCCTGGGACTCCAGCTGAGCATGGGCTTGGGCCAAAGGGCAACTTTCGGGACTGTGGCTAGGTTCTGTGTTGGCATGAGGGCAGCAGCTTGGACTGTGTGACTCCTGTGTCTCAGCGCTGACTTCTTCTTCATCTCCCTGTTGCTTGCAAAGATGGTGTTCGACCATCAGCTGGAGCTCTGAAAAGTAGGGATGGGAAGAATCCATCAAAACTGTGATCTTGGGATGAGCGATTCTTATGAAAGAATTTCCTTTTTTAAAGTCTCCACTGCAAACTGTTATCATGCATTAAGGAACAGATCTATAGGCTAGTCTTATGCAGTGTAAGTGCCCTGCAGTTTTGTGGACTTCAGCTTCCAGAATTCTCAGCAATGCCTCGGATGGCTAGGGAATTTGGGGAGCTGGGCCACACTTATCGGTAAACAGGTTCAGGAAGGCAGTTGTTCACTGATGACTTGGAATCTAGGTGGAACGCATCTCTAGGAGAGGATTATCTTATTGTAAAAAACTCTGCTCCTCTCCACACTCCTACTACCTAGGCTTTGGACTAATAATATCCTTCCTTATAGGCATTCACTTATTGACCTTGAAGCTTGACTGCCAATGGTACCTCTTGTATCTATTTTCTGGATTGTGAAACTTCCCTTCTCTTGAATACACATCTAGTTTTAGAAACTGGCCTTCTAACAGGTTTTTAATGCTGAACTCTCCACTCCTCTGCAATGGTTGCTGCAGTCCCATCCCAGCCTGACAACTGCATCTTGCATTGTATGAGGCACTGCAACACTTTGTTAGAAGGAGGAGGAGAAAGAGGAGGAGGAGGCCGGTAATTGGAGAGAACGCAGACCAATACAAAGAGATAAAATGCTCTAATGCAAAATTAATGAAAAATGATCCTGGCAGGGATTAGGCAGGTTGCATGAAAAGTTATGGGGAGGTGGGGGGAAGAGGGAGCAAAGGGGGGAGGAGAAGAAAAGACCTTACAAAACCATGGAAAGAGTAAAGAATCTTATCGCTGATTGACAAGTTCTGAATAAGCCAATGGGGACTGTGCTATATTGGATGCCAGACAGGGAGGAGCTGGTGATGGGAAGGAATCTTCATAGAAAAGCTGGACCTTAGTTACTACTACTAAGGTCTGTGCTACTTTTTCACAAGCTGCGATCTCCCATTCTAGCATTACAATTCTGACCTATGTAACTGAAAACACAATGGAAGAGGAGTTTTCCAACCATGGTGATCAGTTCCTGAGCACCAGAAGTTGGAAATAGAGTCATCAAGAAGCCATGGATGGTTTGCCTGTGTAAGTCCAGTTTGGGGAAAGGCCTTCAAAGATACCTTCCAGCCCTACAATGGGACAATTCTCATTCAGAAAGAAATCCTATGCTTTTTTAATGAATATCACAGGATGCAGTGTCTGGTATAGCATGCATAGCAAGAAAGAGGATATGTGTATTCCTTTAAAAACCCACAATCAGCCTTCCATTTCAGTAACAAGACATTATTCCAAGCTCTGATCTACAGAGAGCTGGCAAGCATTTGACTTATTACTCACCTCATCATCACTTTGTGTTTTGGAGAGTGGGCTAGCGGATTGGGGTGAGGTCAGATCGTGATTTGGACATACGGGAAAGCTGAGCGTGACTCATTTGGAGGGGGAAGAGAGCCCGAAGTGCAACACATTGTGAGACTACCTCTCCAAATGTACCCTCTGTTCCTCCCTATCATCTCAAGAGGGGAAAGGGAGCTGCCGGACATAGCAGGGAGCCCTTCTGAGGCTCAGGAAGCAGCAAACTATCTTGCTGCTGCTTCCTGAGCATCATCGTTACCATTAGGGATGCCATCCTTCAATACAGTCATCTGGCTTCTAGACCAGTTACCTTTCATGGTGGGAGTAGTGCGAGAGACCTTCTTCCTCTGCCTTGGGGACATTGACAATCCTGGCTGCAAAGAGAAGAAAAAGAAAATCCTAATGGATATAAGATACCGAAATTCAGGTGCAATATGTCATCTTCTATCTATGGGCTGGGTCTGGCTCTTGCCACTTCCAGAATGAAATAAGATGTGCAACAAGGACTAAAGTCCTTGAAGATCTGGAATTGCAGCTTCTTCTTTGTGATGGGCACATCACCCAGCGCATAGAAGACTACCATTGACAGGGCTCATGCCTTTGGTTGACAAGCTGGAACCAGCCCAAACCCTCTTCACTTGTATTCCCTTTTTTCGAGTTTATGATCTGCAGTGGTGTATAATTCTTCCATTCCTATGGAGCAATGGGGAAAAACATAAGGTGAGGAGTATGGGGGTTTGGCCTGGTTTGGCCTCCTGTGCCTTCAGGATCAGAAATACAGATCATCTCAGAAATACAGTTAAGGCTACATGATCAGGGCTGGGAGAATCCAGACAACTGCAAGAGGGCAGCAAAGGGCTAGATTTCCTGTTTCTCTTTGCTGCCAACTAGTGTTTAGCTGGAGTTTTGCAACCTAGACTTGGTAGCCCCAAAACTAACTCAATCTTTTTTCCATTGTTAATTAATGGAAATCTTATTAATCAGAGTGATGACAGTAAAACTCATCCCAATCTAATGAAGACTGTATGTCTGGCACTCTAGGAACTAGTTCATGCTTCTGGTCTTCCTGGCATCCTTGAAATTTCATCTTTTTCACTTTTAGTTTAGAGTAAATTTCTAAAGCATTTTTTTATGGGGGGTGCATTCATACACGCAACGTACTCCCCCATCATCATCCCGAAAGGCTGCCGTGCATCACAATATTATTCTCCTAAAAGTGCAAACTGCCCCCGGTTGTTCAAGTCCGAGAGCAGCAGGGGCATATACCTTCAGAAGAGGGTTGGGGATCCGGTCTTCATCAATTTCTAGGCGAAAAGGAATAGGGACAGAAAGGGAAGAGACAGAAAAAACAATAAGTTAAAGGCATGGTAGAGCCAACACACCAAATCTTAGGACTCTGAGTTATTTAGCAATAGAAATAAGTTTTCACCATCTCCCCGAATGATCCCTGATCTGCAGCAACTCGGCGCATTTGTTCTTGCAGTGTGTATACAGGCCATTCCTGTATGTGACTCAAAGAGTGCCTAAGATGGCTAGCTCTTTTCTGCACTTCTTTGGGCTTCTCTCTGCAGTAGCTTTCCACAACCTGGTGCCCTTCAATGTGCCGGATGCCTCTCCCGTCTTCATTAAGCAACGTTGCCAAGATTCAGCACCCCGGGAAGATTCCCTGGTTAGCTTGGGGAGCTGTATTTTTTTGTAGTCTTTCATATACTTCTATTATTTATTGTTATTATCGTTTAATTATTTTTTAGTTCTTTCTGTGCAATTGTTAAGGTAAATAAGTAAAAAAAAAATCATGGAGGGGAAAAAAACACCTCTGGAATGAAGATGGGCAAGGCTGTGCTATGTCTTGAACCTGGGCTCCAGTAAGCAAGGATGGGCAACGGGCAGTCCCAAGGCTGCTAGCCGCCAACATGTCCTTTCCGTGGCCCTCAAAGCCCCTCCTGGCCATGACCGCTGAAAGCTGATGGCTGTCCTTCCTGCCACTTGGAGATAAATGACAAGTGTTGGGTAAGCCCTAAAATAGGCGTACCACCATTAAAACCCCCCAAGAATCTCCCCCTAACCCTAGCCTTGCCCACATATTTGATACTGTCCCTCTTTGCAGCCCTCTGCCCCCTTGAAATGCAAACCATGGCTGTTTTCCATCCCAACTTAACAACAACAACAAAATAACCCTCCAATCCTGATGTTTGCCCCATCTCGGTAGACTGTAGCCCAAACATTAGAGTAAGACAAGCAGTTTTTCCAATGACAGATGCTTCAAGGATTAAAGCAGGGGCAAAACCTTAATTCTGGCTCACTGATGGTTGGCTGAGGCTATCCACCCGCTCGACTGCAGACCGCGATCCCTTCCCCAAGGATCCCAAAAGCGGCTTAGCTCACAAGGGCTGGAAGCAGCTATCCCAGGACAGCAGGGGCCCAGGGTGGTGTAGCATGCACTCCAAGCCCCGGTCAGATGCTGCCTGGGAAAACCCGAGGCTTTTTCCGCGATCCTGCCGCTCAAGCATCAGCCCCTGCCATTTGCTGGAGCCCCATCGGGAGCCCGTGATTTCATTTGTCGAAGTGCCTGTCATGCTCCGTTGTGCTGTGCCTTGAGATGTTTAGGATGGCTCGTGCCCACTCCATCTTCAATGTGGTTATAGCATTGCTGGCAGCACCTTGACTTTTCGGTCACTTGTTACATTATGACGGGGTTTTATTGTCTTTTTATTAGTTGTCAGCTCTGTTATGGGTAGGGTTGCCAACTGGACCTACAGCAATTGAGTATGTGAAGCTTTCCATGGGGATAAACCCTTTTTACTGCCAGTAGAACAAACGGCGGTTTGAGGTACAGCTGTGAGGATCCTTGGCTAAATTGGTGGCTCTTCCCAGAAGGAGCCCTTAATTGTTCTTGAGCTACTGTACAAATTGTGTAAACCAGTTTGTGCAGGTAGCTGAAGGCTGTGTTTTTTTACTTTAATTAGCAAATCACCCATTTTTTACCCTCTTTTTACAACCAAGCTGGCATTACTGGCCAGCCAGTTTCATCCAGTGTGGCAGAGGAGCTAAAAGCACAAGATGAATGAGTGAAGTTGAGTGGGAAAGGCTATGAGTGGCGGGGAACAAATCAAGTTATTTATTATTGGTTAGATTTATAGCCTGCCTTCCTTCCAGGAGCTCAGCGTGACATAGAAAAACCTCTGTTCTCCTATTTTTTCCTCTTACAACAACCCTGTAAGGGAGGCTGGATGGAGCAAAAGCGACTGGCCCAAAGCTGAAGGATGGACTTAAACCAGGGTCTCTCTAGCCTGAAGCCAACACTTGAGAACCACTCCAACAGTCCGCTTCTCTTTACTTAGTTGGGTGAAATCAACCATCTCCAGGCTTAAATATTTTGTCCTGATCCAGGGCAGAAAGATGATCAGCAGTTTGAAAACCTATCCAGAGCTCTTCAACGAATGGGCATTTCCAAAGGCCTCCCCCCTACCCCGGCGGGCTCAGTGTTAACACACCGCTGGCCTCAGGCAGCCAAGCCAACCATTGCTCAGACTGGCAGCCGAGCTAAAGTTAAGTGGGTCTTGGAGGTGGACCAGGCAATAATTGGCAGGATGCCTGGCCAATCGCCACCTCCCAGCTGTGATGTCCCTGGACCACCATGGTATCCTTCTACCAGGCTTTTTGCAGGCAAACCAGCTTTTTCCTTTTCTTTCTGCCTCACTGCAAAACCAGATGTGGGGGTGAGGCAAGGACAGGAGTGCAGCACTGGGAGGGTAACTTTTTCAGTGCTCCCCCTTTGGGAAGCTGGAGAAAGCGCTGGTTAGCTCAGGAATCATCTCCAACATTGCAAGAGCAGAAGTGAGGCCACTTGTGTAGATGTGGAAATCTGTTCTGGAGGTTTCAAGGGTGGGGCTGGTGGCTATGTGGAAGTGTTCCAAGCGGCGTGTGTGAAAAAGGAAACAGAGGTTAATGTTTGCCAGAGCTCGCTGAAGTTTAAATGCCCAGGTTTAAATCCCAGGGTTCAATGATCCACCCTGTAAACAAGCAACAAATATTTCTGAACCTTTCTCGTGTCCATACAACTGGAATGAACCTGATCTGGGCAGCAAAAATCTGGATGGCCACTAGATGATTGCCTGATTCTCTTTGTGGTCATCTAGTGGTCAACCAGACTTTGCAGCCCAGATCTGGTAGCCCCAACCTAGGCTATGTTCTCAAGATCTTGGAGAGAAATTAAGCTTTTGTGTTAAACAGTTAGCTTGACAGTAGTAGGAGTTTGTATAATTTCCTCTCCCACATTTCAGAACTAGATTTAGATTTGATAGTATAGTCCTCTTTTGTTTCGTTATTCATTCATTTCTAAAAAAGCTCTTGTTTCTTCCTTGCTTTGTTTTTTCAAACCCCTGCAGGAGGCACCAGAGTTTCTTGACAGCTGTCTTTAGGCGGCTACCATTTTATTTACCCACAATGCCTGAAAACAGGCATTATCCTAGGTCTTTATGGGATGAAATGGCGGCTGCCACAGAATACGTAGTACCTCTCTGGGGAGAGACTGCCACAAGTTATAATTGTGCTCTCAATTAAATAAGCTAAAACACCCTGAAATCGTAGAATCTTCAGGGCATCTGCAGGTGTGTGTGTGTGTGTGTGTGTGTGCGCGTGTCAAAAAAGACAAGATGTTTGCGACTGTATGACCGAAACCCCACTCCTTTTTATATGCATTATGTGCATGTCTCACGTAAAAAGGGTGGGGCTTTGATTTTATGTGCTTTGCATGTGGACACACATAAAATGGGTGGGACTTTAATTTTGCAGTCACAGTTGCTACATCGATTTTTTCAACTCCCCCCGCAAATACTCCTGATGGACATCCAAGGCATTATAGGTGCGTCCAATGGTAGTTGCTGAAAAGATCTCCATAGCTGTCCATATATTCATTTGCCACATCGACAGCAAAGTATTATGACTATATTTCATATTCCAAAACCCTTTAATGCCCAATGTTGAGATAAATATTGTATTTGTACACTGAGAACTAGTACAGAGCTTCTGAAAGCTATTTTGCTTGTCCTTGGTGACATTAACCCAGAGACGATTTGACTGATTATGAATCACCGTGATGCCATCTTGTTTACAACAGGACCACAAGTGGTTGCAGCCCCTTGATATGACTTCTTCCAGGAAGATGATGACCCAGTTTTGTTTTGTTTTGTTTAAATCTGAGCCAAAGCAGCAGACCAAGGTCCAAACATCATCTGGCATGCTTAACAACAAAAATGTGCTTTTGTTGTTTAAAGGGGCTATGGTGATGGCTGGGAAGTATTCTTCATAAAAGGTCTTCCTTCTGTTCTAAAAAGCTAAACAGAAATACTGAAACACAACCCGACATATTCTACACTCTGTGAAAGGTACCTAATTTGGAGCATCTCCGTCACCCAGGAAACACACCAGGACGTTGCCATGGGAACTAGAATTCTGCTGGACTGCCAGGCTTCCCCTTCTTGACTCTTCCAAAAGCAGCCAGTAGTTCCTAGCTCCAAATGTCACTTTTAAGTAAATCAGTCTGGTGGACAATATGCTAAATTAATAGAGAAGTTGGAACTTGGGTAACAAGAATAACAGAGAAGACTACCCTCAAATGGAATCTCTGGGAATTGCGACCACCCGTTTAACAATAAGCTGAACACCTTTAACAACCCAGCCCTGTAAGATTTCAGAATCAGGTCAAAAGTCAGCATATTGTGAAGATGTGACACTTACCACATTACTTTGCAACCTTGAACCAAGCACAGTAGAACATCAATCTTGCCTTCTGGCAACTTACACGGCTATATCCATGGAGTTTCTTTGGAACAAGATGGAAGTACTCTTCCACCTCTTTCTTCCATGAGATTTGCTTTGACTTCTCAGTCTAGTCTACAGTCCTGGAATCTCCTGGTGGTCTCCCAGGATGGTCCACCCCTCCTTATTTTTTCTAACTAGCCAAGGTTGGCTAGGTGCTGCCACTTGCTACAGCCAAAATATCTTTAAAAAATCTTCCAAAACCCGCCAAGGGAAACAGAAGAAGCACCTGAAGGGGCAGTGTGGGCCACATTGAAAAAAAGTCAAAGGGGAATGCAGTTCACATACCTTTCTTTAAAAAAATTAAACAGCAGGCAGAGGAGATCAGAACGGGAGTTCATGGACTAGCCCTTTGACAAAGTTGTTATAGACAACTCTATCCAGAGGGAAGATATTTCCCGTTTCCTACCTGCTCACTCATAGATTGAGTACTAGAACAAGGAACGGGAAAGGACAGAGAGATTCCAGCAGGAGTAATCCTGCC